TCTCTCTCTCTCTCTCTCTATATATATATATATACTTATTGCACTGTGTTATTTAGGTAATGTGAATGTTGATTTGCTATTGAAACAACATCTATAGTCTGCCTTGTTAGCTAAAGGTCTGAGTCTTGAGTTTGATTTCTACTTTGGGAAGGATCTCCATCTATTTGCTATTGAACTCCTGTCTTCTGCGTGTGACAGCAAAGCACCTAACACCTACACCGACTCCAGTTATCCAGCAGTCCACCTCCTCCTAAGTTCACTGGTGTGGATGGGGCCGTAAGATACATGTAGTTTTTAGTCTTTTAGTTTGCTTTCAATGTGCACAGAGATCTTTCAGTCTTCTCTCATTGCTTGTTCCTTACTTGCCAAGTGCAATAAGCAGTCCCAGTTTTACTCTGTAGTATAAAACCCACAGGGCTTACTCTTGTCGAAATGAAATGTGAAATTTCAGTTCCCTCCTCTTTATCGGCTGTATAACGGGGATTGTGGTGTAGCGGTTGGTTACTTTGCTTTTGTATGCAGATGACCTCAGTTCGATTCCCATGTGGGGAGATTATGTATCAAATATCTAGATCGATCCCTCTCAGCTGAGGTTGGTTCTGACGAGCAGATTTGAAGCCTGCCTCCTAAATCATAAATGATCTAAAGTGTGTTGATGGGGATGTGAAACACCTTCATCTTGAAAAAATAGAAGATACCCTTTATGCATGTTGCTTCCTCCACAGCTATATTATGTTAAATCATTTATATGTAAATGCAATTTTGTGCTTTTTATAAACTTTACATGTACATGTAATTGGTATTACTTTTGAGTATTGCAAATGTATAATGTTATGTAAGGAATACTATTCAATTAAAACTGTATCAGGCAATAAAATTACTGATTGCGGTTTATTATCAGAAGTGAACTTGTTTTTATTTTTAGTTCTTTTTCAAGAGAGAAACGAAAATAAAGGTTTATAAATTGTTTTCCTTTTAATTTTAATGAATGAGTCATAAGTGAGTCGTTGGCAGTTGCTTTGGTGTGGTTTGTGCCTTCTTTCCTATCAAACATCTATCGTCCTTATCTCTCCTTCTTTTTGTGTTTGTCACTCTCTTGCAGCACCTCTAAATCTTCAGCATTTTTAATGCATTTTTTAATTGCAAGTGCCATAATAAAACAAAACAAAATCAAAACAAGGGCAAAAAGTTAAATGATTTTACTTTCCCTTCTGGTTGCTTCGGGAGTCTCTGAAGTAGACACATGGCATTGTATATACTCGTATATGGTGGTGCAACCCATTACATGTACAAAAGAGGTGCACTCGATTTATAGTCTGTACAGCACCAAATGGACAACTTGTCGACCTCATTATTCAGAAACTAAGTAAGTGGCGATTTGCTCTGCTTTTTTTGCATGTGCCTTTGAATTCCGCAAAACCTAAAAAATCTCGATTTTCGAGCATATGTGACAAATCCCCCGCGTACACTGTAATTAAATACTAATGATTACATAGGAAACACGTCTTCATATTTGTCGCATATATACACGAAAATCTAGATTTTTTAGGTCTTTTAGAATTCAGAGGCACATGCAAAAAACCCCCAGAGAGATTCCCCTCTTGGATTCGGTGTAATGAGGTCAACAAGTTGTCCATTTTGTGTTGCCCGGGTTATACAGTAGTAGTAATAGCGAACACGACTCAATGAATGTGTATGATGTATGCGCTCATAAAGTGTGTGGTGCTGCTGTTGTGTATTGGTTGAGACGGAGAAAGGGGGGGGGGGGGTGCTCTGCTGTGGTTTGCTCCTTTTTTTCAATGAAACATCTATCATCCTTAAATCTATCCTTTTATATGTCATGCAGTGGCGTCGCGTGGGATGCAGACAAGGTGGTGCATAATAGGAAAGTGAGCAAAAGGGCAATATAAGCTTAGTAGGTACTATCTAGATTTCTAGACAAAGTCAATAAAAGAATCTGCAGAATATCCCGTGATCTAGATCTATCGATATTTACAACTGTTTCTACGATTTCTAGATGAAACCACATAAAGGCTGCAATAAAGTGAAACAATACTAACAACTCACTATGCTCACCATCTGAGAAGATTTAAAGATTTCTAATTACTTCGTGCAGCACCAGGAATTGCTACACAATAGAGGGAGACAACAGTTTCGATACCCATTTTTCATTGAGTTACCGTAGACCCTACCTGTATAGTAGTAGTAGATAGGCTCGCGGAAACTTGGATCACATTTTTAGCTTGCACCAAATTTGTGCCGCTAAGAGCAGTTTCATGCACCTTTCTCCTTGTGCGGGAAGGACGATGTCTAGATTTCTCTACAGTGACAGAAATAACTTTGGTGCAAAGATTTTGCTTGCTCCCAGCAGACACTACCGCAAGCGGTGCGACGAGCATACATCATCCTCGCCGTCTGTCCCTTCACTGGCGCAGCCAGCGGGTGACGGATCGCAGGGATTTAGTTGTAGATCTATAGATCTAGAGCACTGACTGGTTTAGAACAATTAGAAAAGGGGGGGGGGAGTGTGTGAAGGTCAGGGTTTTGGTGGAGCGCTTGCACCAATGGCGCCCGCCACTGAATGTGATCATTCATTCATGGAAATAGTGGTTCTGTGATGAAGCGTACTTGTACTTGAACAGAGACATGAACACAAGAAATGACATTCACTGGAGTTCAGAAAGACCAGACAATAGACAACGTTGTTGACCGAAACCTGTACACACAGAATGCGTGGGTTGCAGTAGGACTCATTGGTCCGAACAGGTTCATGGATGAAGACTATTGTATACCAACAGTGGCAGTAGATCGTTATCTGAAGATTTTTAAAATCTGTGTTGAAGATCATTGCGAAGATTATGAGGGACCTCAGGAGCGGAAACGACCGTGGTTCAAGTAAGGAGAACACTATAAGCTCCAGTCATCGAGTGGAACCAGAATCACTTCAACAGAAGTCGCGGTATACCTTGTGCCGAGCTTTATACAATCCCAACCTGAACCCGTTGGACTTCCAACTCTGGGGCAGATGTGTGTTCAGACTTTCCCCAACCATTGCGAACTGAGGCAAAACGTGGAGTACATTGCTCGAAAAATTCTGCAGTGGCCGAAGGTAATAAATCACATTTCAACGCCGAGAAAGTGAGTGTGTCTCTAGTGACTGCCGCCACACCAAGCACGTTCTTTGACCGCCCAGGACTTCTGTCACAAATAGCGGGATTCTCCTGTAACTTTGTCAAACTAAATCCACAAATGGTCCTCATTTGCCTAAATTATTTTACTGTCTAATGCATTTTTTAAACATAAGCATTTGTTTGAATTTCGTCAGAATTGGGATACTTAACAAACTCACACAAACACATTCGCGCGTGTGCACGCATGAGCGCGCGCGCACACACGCGCGCGCGCGCGCGCGCACACACACACATACACACGCATAAACATACTCAATAATTATGTGAGTGCGTGGGTGTATGTAAGTGTGTGTTTTTTGTTGTGTGTGTGTATTTGTGTGTGTTTGTGTAATCTTGGATCGTTTTACTCAACGATTGGTATTGATTTGTTTGTTACTGGCCAAGGGCAGAGCTGACATTTTATGAAGGTAGTTTTGAGAGTCTGTCGTTGAATGCTAGCTTCAGAATGAAATTAACCGATAAACTGATCAATTCCATTTAATATATTAGATATGGGCAAACTTAAAAAAAGAAATCGAATTTATTGCTTCATAAAAAATGCTTTTAGAACTTAATTGACGCTTTCAAATCTTTTATTGCGTTTTTCTCAAAATGACTTTTTTTTAACGGAGGTGACCACGCCGTGGCAATCGTTTTTCTGAAACTCTCTGGCTACAAATGTGAAATTTGGAACAAAGGTGCAATAGTTTGTTTTGTGATCATAGGCAAGGATTTTTCGAAATATTAATAACTTTTAGAAATATTTCTGATTTTTTGTCATTGTAGATCTACTCGTACTTTTCGGAAGTCACCCTGTGATATATGGGTATTTTTCTTATTTTTCACGTTAGAAAAAAGTCCTTGCCTATGATCACTGTTCATGTGTTTGTGTATTTGTGTGTCAAGTTTGAGGCTTAAATTCCATTTTTTTCTGTGGAAAACGACTGCCACCGCAATACGGCCAAAAATTCAAGATGGCCGCCACAGAGGCCAACTTTTTCATAAAACTAAAAATATTTCCGTCATCATTCTTCTAATTAGATCTAGATCATAATTAACTTATATCATTTGAAAAAAACTGTAAGAAAGTCAAACCCCTAGAAAATTCCTCGTACCATGTACATCGCCCGGCCGTTAATTAAGTACCCTCAGTGTTTTACTTTTGGTAGAAAAAAAGGGAAAATCCAAACAATAGGTTCTAAAAGTTCTCTCATTTGTATTTTTATTAGTGCCAATTGACGCCGGCATCGATTACCACCGCGCCACTCGGTGCCAAGAGACGCCCGCGTCGATTACCACCGCACCGCTCGGTGCCAAGAGACGCCCGCGTCGATTACCACCGCACCGCTCGGTGCCAAGAGACGCCCGCGTCGATTACCACCGCACCACTCGGTGCCAAGAGACGCCCGCGTCGATTACCACCGCACCGCTCGGTGCCAAGAGACGCTACCTTTTTATTAAGTTTTTGTTTAGATCTAGATCTAGATGTAGACTCTATGTTGATACTTTTTCTGGTTGTTGTTTTTTTTTTTTGCGATGGGAAATACGTTGGTTAGCCTTGGCAACGTCAAACAAAAAAAAAATAATTTTGAGGTTTGTCCTTGAACCACAGAATTCTACATTAAGTGTAGAATTCTGTGCCTTGAACAAAGCGGAAGAAAAATGCGAGTTTTCTCCCTTGGAGCCTTGGATCATTGGAGGAGGTCACCGGTGTCAAAGTTCAGAGAGGTGAACTATTCCGGCTGTTTCGTCTTGTTTGCTGATTGCTGTTCCTTTTTTTGCTTCGTCGCCAATCTCCTGCCTGCTTGCAACACCGGCGCTTTCATCTTTCTGAAATCCGCGGTGAATTACATGCGATTATTGTATCGCCCTCTGTTTCAAGTGTGCTCAAAAGTTTGTATCTAGAAATCTAGATATCAAGATCTGTTTCTCTTCGGGAATGAGCTGTTTCTATTCAATTCGAAAATTTAAGTCTCAGTTCCATCACCATGATCACGTCACACGTACAAGAGAATTGAATAGAAATCTAAATCTAATCTAATATAGATCTAGATCTAGATCTAGATCTGTAGATTCTAGATCTAGATCTATAATCTAGAATGCAGACTAAACCAAATAGTAGAAATCTAGATCTCGATATCTAGAAATCTAGATTAGATCTAAAAATCTAGATTCTAGAAAATCTAGATCTAGAAGTCTTGAGTCTGGAATGAAAGATCTGAGGTTGAGGGAATGAGGCATCAGCTGTGACTGACTGACCAATTTCATGGTGGTGTCCAAAATCCTGCCTCCTGTTGCACCCAGAATTATAGGCCTACACCACAATTACATCTAGATATAGATTCTAGATGTAGATTTACTCCCACAATGGCCATCATGTAAACAAACGGGGCCGCAGTTGTACTGGAGAGCCGAATCTAGAATTAGAATCTAGGCCTTGGCCTTGGTATTTAAAAGGTAGATCTAATCTAGTGTCAATTGCCACCGAGTAATTGGAGCTCTTTTCTTTTGTGTTTTTGAGTAGATCTAGCCTGTATGTGCTTTGTTCTGCGTTCGTGAACTTGCGAC